CTATATATGGTCCTGTAATTGCTGCACTATATAATAGTAGGGGTTGATTAGCTGAGTTGGCTGGATGGCTGGTTTGAAATGCAGAGTTGCACCAACAGCACAGATTCAGCTCCCACACTGGCTGAGGTTGCCATGAAAGTGTCTTTTTCGCAACCTCCCCTTCTCTTGAGGTATGATGACCCTCGGGTTAAACCACCACTACTTGTCTCTCTCTCTAATGGAGTTGCCCTGTGGTCTGTTAGGACTATAGCAACTTTGCCTTTTACTGTATAGGCCTTCGGCATTAGGCTGTCAGCATGAAGTGCCATGGCTAAATGGTCTCCAGCAATTTAGGTTGAGCTCAAAAACTCTTGCTAACCAGTAATGTTTAATATTTCAGGCAAGCATAGATATGGCCAAATACACCGGGTGGGGAGATTGAAATATTTAAATATGATCTTTATCACTGCCAGCAGAAAATAATAGGATGGAGATTGGAGACTGCTTGCTGAATTATTCTGAAGTTACAGTGTAGTCATAACCACATTTTGTTCCTTGCTTCAATGATCATAGTTAAGGAAAGTCATTCACCACAAGATCCTAATGCTGACCTATGCTGGCTTCCATTTGAATAACATCTTGTTTTTAACATTCTTATCCTTGGTTTCAAATCCCTCCATGCTCATTCCTGCTTTCTGTAATTATCTCCATAGTCATAACCCTTGAAGATATCTCCACTCCTCAAGCTCTCGCCAGTTGTGCAACTATTATTTTAATCATTTCACTGCTGATGGCTGTACCTTTAGCTACTGAGGCCCCAGGCTCTGAAAATACCCTCCTTGCATCTTGCTTACCTCCTTTAATTCACCCCTTAGAGCCTGTCTCTTTGACCAAACTTTTGGTCATCTGACCTAATATCTCAATGGTATGTTTTGTTTTCTTAGGCTCCTGTGAAGTCCCTTGGGACAGTTCCTTATGTTCAGGGGGCTATATGAATATAACTCATTATTTTACAAAAAACAGCTTTGAATGAAAGCAATGAAGAAGGGACCAATTTCCAGTGCATTAAATTTATTTTCGTCCCCAGCTGATAATACTGTGCTTCAGCAAGCAAGACACCACTGAATTGGAAAATTCTCTTTTCAGGTCTTTAATCAGAGCATTTAGTAGAGACTGTGAAGTCAGAAAATTTCTATTGAAACGTTTTATTGTTAGCTTTCTCGACCATTCCATTTTAAGAAAATTTGCCATGGCCCAGGTTTGCTTCATGCTGCAGTGCCAGTAGTGACTTATTAGAGAGCTGAGCTTCATAGAATCCCTACAGTGCTAAAAGAGGCCATTTGGTCCACTGAGTCCACACCAACCCTCTGAAGAACATCCCACTCAGACCCCTACCCTTGCCCTATGACCTCGGAATTATTATAGCTATTTCACCTTGTCTGTACAACCCTGAACACTACGGGACAATTTAACATGGCCAATTCATCTAATCTGCACAGCTTTGGACTACAGGAGGAAACTGGAACAAAACCGTGCAGCCAAGGGGAGAACGTCCAAACTCCACACTGACAGTCGCCCAAGGCCAGAATCGAACCTGGGCCCCTGGCACTGTAAGGCAGCAGTGCGAACAATTGAGCCACCATGCCACCCACAGTTAAAGCTCCCTTCAAACGTATCATTGCCCAATGGGGAGGATCCTAAGTTCAAACTGCAGAGACTTGGAAACCATTCCCCTTATTGCAAATAATATTGGACAGTAGGATAAGGAGTAGGAACAGAGCTGAATCTCATTACTAATTATATTTTAGATGAGTGCTCCATGAATTGAGACTGACAAACTTGTTAATCAACAAACCATGCAGGGGAAGAGAAGGCTGCTCATAAGTGGCCCTCAAGCATTTATCTGGAAATATTGACTGACTTGCCATATGTGGGAAGTCTTGGCAGCCTTCTGTCTCATGAGGTGACTGTTTCTGCCTTGGTGATCAACTCTATGTTAAGCAATGGTGGTTTGGCTGCCCCACTCCAGCATACCAATCTCTGTTACGATTACTGCGAAGACAGTTTGCTGAAATTGGCTGGTATTTTCTCTGGATCCTCTCCTTGACCAGCTGAGCTTTTCATATCTTCTTGTCTCTAACTGCCCTTTCAAACAGTCAGCCTCCAGGGTTCACAGCTGTTGGCAACTGCTGTCAGTTCTAAGTATCAATAGACAGTAGCTATGGCTTGATTGGTTAAGGTAATAGACAAAAATTCTATTAGGGATCCCCGATCAGAGGATAGGAAGTACTGTCAGGAAAAAGTACTTGGTCAGAATTCCTAGGCCACATTGATCTTTGGTGCTCATGCCAAATGTTCTCCAGGAATGTTTGAACCTGAATGCTCCATATTATTTGTCATTGACTTAGATTCAGAATTCTTGAAGTTCACTATTTTAAAGAAAAATGAAAGCACTTCCAACTCAATGCCAACCATTGACAGAGTGCCTTTTATTTTTCTGACTTCATTCCTGCATATATTTAATGAACTGTACTGGCTTTTTGGGAGTTTTTCAGGTTCTAATACTGTAGCTGAGGTCAACTCGCAGCACCCTGAATGTGGAACTTTCTGGTTATCCAGCAAACTTTCAATAACTTGTTTGCACAACCGCAATGTCATTTTCTTGCCATCAATCACACTGTGTTCATTTCAGAACTGTTAATTTTCCTCCTGTAAATCAATGGTGCGTTTTTATGCAGGAACAGATTTTCATAATTTTCCATAGTATGTTCACATGCATAATGAGAAGAACAGTCAAGAATTCATATCTTACTAACATATTCCAGGAATATAATTTTGAGGGAAGAATCTGTCGTCAGTTTCTCTGTAAACAGCAGAAATGACATTCCAGTTGTCTGATGCGATTTGTACATAATAAAAAAGCTAGAATCTTCTAATAAAAAGTAAACATTCCCAAATAAAGTTGAATTTATTAATGCTTTTATAAGGGAGAGATTTAACCAGTCTCTGACTTTTACTCTTGAAGTATGTTCTAGGAAGATAACACAAAGGCTTAATTTTTCAGAGCAAGAATAGGTCACTCTTATATTCTTCTCCATGTCTCCTGATCTTCCTCCCTCTGTTATTTATGTATATTGTTATTTCTCTCAACTTTCCTTCTCATTGCAACCCTTTTAATATGTGCATGCCTATAATTCTGGCCTCTTGCGCATTCCAAATACTAACCACTCCACCGTTGATAGCTGTTCCGTCAGTTGTCTAGATTCCAATCCCTGGAACTTCTTCCCTGCCGCTCTTTATCCATCTCATTTTCCTCCTTAAATCTGTCCTCGAAAACCTACCTCTTCAACCAAGCTTTTAGTCATCTGACCTTCTATCTCCCAACTTGGCATGATGTACTTTTGTAATGCCTTGGATTGTTTCCTTGCATTATAAATTTCTGATGCTCACATTTGCAAACCTATCTTTGCAATAGTAAAAACAACACTGATTACATCATCTCCTAACTCATTCTTTCTCGTGGCCCTCCTTTGGTCTCTTTATATTCCACAGACTTTTAAAATACGATATCATTAACACTTAGCTATTAGTATTTAATATAACTTCTATTTCTTTCAATTTTGAGTGTTATCTTGAACTATTATCCTTAAGGCTTCACCTAGATTTCCCAGTGACAAAAGGAAAGATTTATACAATTTCCCAAAGCCTTGGAATGGATTTATTTTTGCCTTGTAGCTTTTTGAAAGCTTCTGAATTTAAATTTTAATTTTGATTGGTTATGACTGCCTTTCATTTGCACAATAAAACGGATGAGAAAATGGTGTATGCCTTTTTATTTAAACAAAAGGCTTATCCTTCTAGTATATCAGCTCTGGCAGTTTGGTATGTGAGGTTAAATGTTTCCCAGGTTGGCTGCACATTTTTCCATCGTAAATCATGTAAGGGAAATAATAGTTCAGAACATGACAGGAGAGTTTTATTTATAGAAATCAGATGCATGATTTAAATAATTTTGAATAAATTACTAGTTATCTTATCCAATTGTGACACTATAGAAGGAGGCCATTTGGCCCATTGTGTCTGTTTCAGCTCTCTCTGCAAGAGCAACTCATCTACTGCCACTCCCCAGCTTTTACTGTATAGTCCTGCAAAAGTTCCGCTTCAGTGTCAATTTTGTGTGACAGTGGAGTTGCCAACTTCTGTACATTTTCCCGGAGGTTAGACCATAGCACTTCTAGCCTCCTTATCCGATCAAAAATCTACTCCAACTCCAGTATTTTATTTAGAAACTAAGAAAGTAAACTGTCAAAATCATTTGTTTTATAATGCCACACTGATTTTTTTTTGAGGATTACTCCCCACAGTGTGCAGGATATTCATTGTAAATCCTGGAATGACATTTCAGTAGTACAAAAGTTATTAAATGAAACTGATTCCAGAGCAAAGGAGTGGGTATTGGGAATATAAAATGGATCATTTTCGGATGGATTTTGGACAGGGAGCATCTTGGAGCAAGTGTAAGTAATTGACTGTGCCTAGTTCCTGCTCTGCTGCAGTTGTTTCCTGTGGTTAAACTGCAATTGAAATCTTTTGAATCACGTTTTTCCGTTGCCAGGAAACCTGGAGAATGTTTCACTGATGGAATGGGGGGAGGGGTAGAAGAAAGCCAACCTGCAGGAAACCTCTCAGGACGCATGTGTCACAGGTCTGACAAATTTCCTTACTGCGCTTGAGGATGTTTAAGTCATTCTATAAGGACAAGCTCCGTAGGTTTGCCAGGGTCTGTATCCGTAGACAAAAATAACTGCGTGTTCAGCAAAAGTTTATTTTTAATATCATGTGTGTGATTCATATCTCATTGAATTGCTGACCCCAAGATCAAATGGAATCCATGCAAAAACTATTTGTGAGGCGGTCTGAAAAGAGTAACAGACTTTTTCAGCTGGTCGTAGTATCTTATCCCACAGGGTCATTCTTTATGTGTGATCCAAGGCACTGATTATCCAGTTGGGAAGTGTACATCTGTGGACAGATGTGATTCTTAAAAATACTTATTCTTTCACAGGATATGGGCGTTGCTGGAGAAGCCAGGATTTGTTGCTCTTGCGTAATTTCCCTTAAGAAGGTGGTGGTGCCTTCTTGAACTGCTGCAGCCCATGTGGTGTAGCTACACGCATTGCCGTCAGGAAGGGAGTTCCAGGATTTAGACCCAGCAACTGTTAAGGGTGATACAGTACCAATTCAGGATGGTATGTGGATGAAAGACAACATGCAGTTGCTGGTATTCCTATGCTTCAGCTACCCTTGTCCCTCAAGGTGCTGGAGGTTACAAGTTTGGAAGATGCTGTTAAAAGCACCTTGGTGACTTCTTGTATTGTGTAGATGGTATACATTGCTGGCACTCTGCTTCAGTGGTGGAGAGAGAGAATGCTGAATGTGGTGAATGGGACACCAATCAAGTGGGCTACTTAGTCCTGGATAGTATCAAGCTTCTTGAGTGTTGGTGGATTTAGGGCAATGTCAAGGTTGCAGGGATTTTTCACCTGGGCATCCTGCTGACCCTCACAGTCCAAGTTCACACATGTAGAAAGGCCACTTGGATGAGGAACTGGAGTCTGGTGTCACCTGGAGTTCCACTTACCAAGACTGACAAGAAAATTAAAGGGAAGGGCATGAGGTACAGTGCTGTTCCCTAGATTACAACAGTGATTATATTTCAAAAGTTTTTCCAATAACTGCAAATCAATACAATACAATTCAGTATAGCACAGGAACAGACACTTCTGCCTACCAAGCCTGCACCGATTCTAATCCTTATTTAGACCTGCTGCTTATTGTTCCTATCCCTCTGTTCATCTCCCATTCATGAATCTATCAAGATTGGCCTTAAACGTTGCTAACATGCTTGCTTCCACCACCTGTACTGGCAGTGTGTTCCAGGCACCCACCACCCTCCATGAAAATCTTTCCCTGCATTTCTCCCCTATACATTTCCCCTCTCACCTCGAACCTGTGCCCTCTTGTAGTTGACCTTTGTACTCCAGGAAAAAGCCCCTGACTATCCATCCTATCTGTGCCTGTCATAATTTTATAGACCTCAATCAAGTTGCCCCCTTATCCTCTGCCTATCCAGTGAAAACAATCTGAGTTTATCCAATCTCTCCTCGTAACTAAAATCCTCTAGACCAGGCAACATCCTAGTAAACCTTCTCTGTACCCTCTCCAAAGAATCCACATCCTTCTGGTAATGTGGCGACCAGAGCTGCATGCAATATTCCAAATGTAACCGAACTAAAATTTTGTATAGCTGTAATATAACTTTCCAACTTTAATATTCAGTGCCCTGGCCAATGAAGGTAAGCATGCTGTATGCCTTCTTGACCACCTTTTCCATCTGAATCACTTCAGAACATTCTCATGAAAAGAGCTATATAGATATCTTTTATTTAGTACTGTGTTCCAAGCAGCAGCTCATATAAATTGGGGAGCTCAGTAATTTCCACCTTTTCATCCTTGGTTCAGTGGCCAGCACTCTTGCCTCTGAGTGGTTTAGAGTTCAACTCCAGACATTTGAGCACTCCAGCACAATACTGAGGGAGGTGCTGTGCTGTTGGAAGTTCACTTTCAATGACATGTTAAACCAACCTTCCGTCTGTCCTTTCTGGTGAATGCAGACTATTCTTTGGCACAAGAAAGAAGAGGCAAGTCCAGAGGAAAATAAAAGTTTAAAGAAAGGTGTATTGATCAGTCTCAGAGTTTCATGAACAATAGATGATAAGACATTGCAGCTGTAATGCTGGGTGATACTGGTAGCACGGATTTTGGTAGTGTTACGGGGAGGAGGTCAAACTGCTGTGATAATTAAACTGAAATACAAGCCTCCAATCTATTATGGTGGGATTAGAGGCTCCCTTCTCATAATTAAACCCAAAACACCCAGAGAAGCTCGCCTCACCCTTATAATCTGTTAAAGAGTGGTTAAATGAAATAAAATCTCTGATATTCACTTTATAAGTAACAATTTATTTATTTAACCCTAACAGTGGACAAATTAACAGAATTACTAACAAACCGAACAATTCCCCTTTAACTACTAACTATTCTGTCTCTGAACTAAATTCTACTGGTATGCTGTTCTAATAAACACAAGTCCCACTTATATAAACGCAAATAATAAGAAAATAAATTAAAACTTAGTCTCTCAAAGTCTACATGTCTTTCTTCTGCTGTTCTCAAGTCGTAACCAACTTTCTTCCACTAATCCAGCTGACAGGGATGTTTTCTCCATGAAGTCTTGTGAGGACTCTTAGCTAGAAGTGTTGTGGTACCTTTTATGGATAGACAGTGCTTTCTTAGAGAACTTAGCGATTTCTAGTCTTATGTATTCTTGAAAGGTGATAATACAAACATTTCTCTCAGCCAGACTGCTCACTTTTCTCCCATCATATTCCCAGTCTGAGATAGCTCACAGGAGATTACATTTCAGTTTGCAGTTTTCTCCCTTTGAAGTTTTCCTCTTTGAAGCTTCCTTGACACCCCTTGAATATGACAACCTAGGGTCTCCCTCAAGGCTGAGCCTGACCTATACAGGCCTTCCAGATAGCGAATGGATTTTACTGTGCAGAATCTACATTTTCAGTCATTATTTTGGCTGTGCATCAAAAACACTTTGTAATTAAGTGTTTATTTTTTTTAAGTGATCCAAGGCTATGATCATGGCACTGCACCATTGCGAAGCAGAAAGATTCATTACCCAATGGGTGATGCTTGACTGTCAGCAAACGGCTGTTTAACCATTTTCAATATTTTATATCTGGTAAAGAGATATGTTTGCATAGACATTTTGAATAAGCCTGTAGTTTTTCTCCAGAGTTACACAGGGCAGTGTCCAGAGGATTGATGTTCAATTCCCAGAGCATCGTCAGTCCTGTTCTCATATCACTTTAGTCCAAGGCCTATTATTTGGTAACAATTGGACAGAGGCGTCCTGGGATTTGCTCAGCATTGAAGTTCCTCTAACTTATTTGTTAGAGGAATAGATTCTGTCATGCATTAGAATGTGGATCAGTTCTGGGGGTAGAGTTCCAAACCATCCCAGTGCAATAACCTGAAAATATCCCTTCTCTGATCACCCCCAAGGCTTTTATATGCCTTACATTTGAATAGTTTCAGACTAGTTCCCAGTGAGATTTGAATCACAGCACGAAATGACACAACGTGACCCAAGTTGACTAATTTCTACAGGTCATGAAAGTGTGGAAATTGGAGTATTGCTGCTGTGATTGTGAAGGGGAATCTTCTGAAGTTGGTAGCTGCAACACATTATTGAGCAACAATGGAGTCAATAATTATGAGGACAGGCAGAAAAATGGAGTTGAAGCCACAATCTCAGAATTGTTACAGCACAGAAGGAAGCCATTGAGCACACTGTCTGCACCAGCTGTCTAAAGCAAGCATTTCACTTCGTGCTATTCTCCTGCTTTCACCCCATAATGCTGTGCAGTCTTCCTTTAGCTACTTTTTAATGCATCAATTAACCCACCTCCATCACACACTTAGGCAGTGCATTCTAGACCTTAACCACTCCATTGCGTGAACATTTTTTTCTTATCATTTTTGTTCCTTTTGCCAATTACTTTAAATCTAGGCCATCCCATTCTTGATCATTCCACTATCAGAGGAGCCGACTTCTTATTGAATGGTGAAACAGGCTTAAGGGGCCACATGGCCTACTCCTGTTCTATTTCTTGTGTTCCTAATTGAACAGTCTAGAGATAAGCTTGCACTGTATTTAATCTCTGCCTAGGGAGTACATGAAAAGTCATCACTGAGCGCAATAAATTCAGCAAATATCTTCCTGAGAGAATTATCTAAATACTGAATGATGTCTGGTCTACTATCTCTAAGAATGAAAATTCTATGAAGTTTTGCTGTAATCTTTTGTTAATACAGCAGAACACACATGAACACAGGGGGAAAAAAAACTGCTTGAAGAGTCTATGTCCTGCTAAATTCTATTATAATATAAATGCAAAGATAAAGCCTTACGTTTTTTGTAGCAACTTTCACAACTACGTGTTTTGTCTGTTTCCATAGCTTGTTATTCCTGGACCAGGTGAGCAGAGGCTCCAGCTTGAGGAGCACCACACCTGGAGACTGACCAGGAGACTCTCACTCTTAACACCAGCCATTGGCGTATTGGAAGAATTTACAAGTTAAGGGTCTTCTGGCACAGTGATAATGTCCCTACCTCTGGGCCAGGAGGCCTAGATCCAAGTCTTATCTGCCCCAGAGGTATGTCATAACACGCCCTAACAGGTTGATTAAAAGAATTGTAAATGCTTTGCAGAGGGTTCAGAGGAGGTTTGCTAGATGGATAATCCACCTGTTTGGTTGTGTTATGAACACACTTTCCCTAGCCTTCAAGTCCTGGTGTAAGACTCAAACCCAGAGCTTCTGGCTCAGAGACAAGGACAACATTACCTGCTGTTCCATAAGGTTGCCCTATAAAAGAGCAGGGAACCCTAATTATTCATTCTTTCCAACACCAACCCCCTCGCTCAGAGAAATGGGCATGAACGTTGACTCCCATCAGCTATCCTGGGACTCAGCACTGCCCAAGAATTGAAATCTGAACAGGTGTCACTCGAATTGGAAAAAAACTGTCGCCTTCCACTTCAAAGCATTTCCTCTAGAAATAATATGTCTATTTTAAACAAAAAAACAAATACGTCCCTCTAGGTTTAATCACAAAGTACTGAAAAAATGGCAGAGTTCTGCAGAAGGGTCACTGGACTCAAAACATTAACTTTGATTACTCTTCACAGATGCTGCCAGACCTGCTGAGCTTTTCCAGCGACTTCCATTTTTGTTTCTGATTTACAGCATCCACAGTTCTTTTGGTTTTTATTTAGTTATCCTGGAGTTAGACATAGTTTTATGTAAATTACATCCTTGATATTCACACCCCACCCCCAAAAGAAAACTGACCCTTCAGCCTCCCCCTGGCTCCCCCCACCTCAAACCTCTGAGCTCTCTACCCTCTCCCCCTCTGGCTCTCCTGACTTCACCATTCTACCAACCCTACTGCCTTTCCTACCTGCCACCATAATCACTTCCTACTATTATGAACCAGACCAAACTGCCTCAAAATATTCAGAAGATAGTCTAGACCGTAACTTTTTCTTATTTCAAAGGTAAATGCAAGGTGTTGTGTTTCAGATGCAATTTGATTGATCAAACTACTGGATTTAAAGCAAAACATACTTTATTCATCCACTACAGTTAAAATATTTCAGAGCCCCCTTCCCCTCCCCTATTTCTGAAGAAGGGTCCTGACCGAAAATGTCAGCTTTCCTGCTCTTGTGATGCTGCCTGGCCTGCTGTGTTCATCCAGCTCTACACCTTGTTATCTCAGACTCCAGCATCGGCAGTTCCTACTATCTCTAAAAGAAAGAATGAGTTGGAATAACTTAAATCTATTGGAAAACTTAACAAAGCAATAGATGCAGTAACTATCACTAATTAACTGTTCCAATATAGTAACATCCCATAAACAAACCCTTGGCAAAAGGCAAATTCAGAAAAAGATTGTCTCATGTTAACTCCCATAGCAGGCAGAGATCCCCCAGCTTTTGGCAGTAACTGAGAGAGGGAAAAAGTAGCTACCACCTCTTCAGGACTCCAACAGCAACTGCAGAAAGCTAACTAAAAAAACTGGTTCTGTGGAAGCTCGACCACACCCATTCCGGCTGCCTCTATTGTTCCAACTTTTTAAAACAGCCTTAAAACCTCTCTTCAAAAAAAGCAGGGCAAAGTACACCTCTTAAAGCCACAATATTGTCACCCTAGTTACCTTGCCCACCCTACTGTCTTACACACACACACACATACCTACATATTCATTGACACTTGTATGAACGTATCAAGTTCTGGGAGAAATAAACTTACATACTACAATATGACAGCTACTGTTTTAAAAGGGGATGTGGTTCTCTGTGCTGAGCTGTCTCAGGTTTCTTGGGTTGAAGGAGTTTTAGGAATCCTCCGTTGGAAGATTAGTGAGAAAAATTGGAGGAATTGTTAAGTGGCTAAAAATATATCTGGTCAGCACTGGAGCTGGGTTCTGATGCTAACCTGTAGATTTCGATCAATGGCAATGATGTATCCTTTGTTACTGCCATTCGTTTCAGTTTTGATGTTCTGTTTTGTCCAAAGATCCATTATATCACTCTCACTCTTTGTCAAGAAGCTGTAGATTCAAGTGTGAGTGTATAATTGAGGTTTACACTCCCGGTGCAGTACTAAGGGTGTTGTATTTTCTGAGGTGCTGGTTATAGATTGAGATCTTTAAGTGAGGGCCTATTCTAAAAACAAAATATCCTATGAACAGTATTATTTGAAAAGCCTGTACTACCAATTGAAGACCCACCTCCTCCCCACCCCCAAATAGCTTCACAGTGCAGCCAGTAAGACCTCTGTTGTATTGCCTGACTGTGTGTCAGACTTCACCTGTTGAAAGAATTCTTGTACGTCCACATAAAGAACTCAGTTTGCCAATAACGAATAAATTTTAAAGTTTGGGGTTTGGAGACATCCAATCCCTTAAAACATTAAGGAGGCAGCCTGCTAGAAAGCATCTTAGAGCTGCAACAGACTCTCCAACCAAACCAGTTTCCATGTCCACTAGATTTGTCCTGCAGCTGGAGTGAAGCATTTTGTACTCTGGAATCAGACCAGGCTCTGTCTCTGGATTAATACATTTTGCTGCAGGCTGGAAGCTGGTTCAAACATTAGCCTGTGATGGCTTCGTGCTACAGTAGGTGCTACCCACTGCTACACCAACGGAAAAGCTTGAATAAATGTTACTTTACACAAGTGCACACACCCACTTTAATGGGTTTCCTTTTCAAAATACTGAGACAATCTATCAGGATGACAGTGAGATCTATAGGTCAGACCACCTCCCTCCACCTACACATTACTCCTGTGATAAAACAATTTCAATCAATTCCTTTGCTCCAAATGTCTGCATAAAAGCAGAGAAGCTTATTAAAAATGTAAGTAGAATCTCCCCAAGGCTCCAATGGCCTTGGTGGGATAAAATTCCACAGGCTTCTTGTCTCTGTGACAACTAGCTAATCTGTAATTCTGGTCTGTTATGAAACCTGAACTTATTCACGCCACCAATGGTAGTCATGCCTTCTGCAGTCTGGGCCCTAAACTCTTGAGATTGCCTTTCTACACCACCTTCTCTCTACCTCTCTCTTGCCTCCTTCAAAACAGTCCTTAAACTTATCACTTTCATTTGCACTAACATCTTCTTATGTGGCTCAATGTCAAATTGTGCTGGATAACCATCCTTTAAGAAGTCTTGGAATGATAAGATTGTGTTAGGGGCACCAAATAAATGCAAGTTATTCATCTTTTTTTTGCTGCACAGAAAGAAGCTCCCAGGTTCAATTTGTGGGCAGTATTGATTTATTAGGAGATGGAGTATCAGTTAACCTATAAGCCTTTTGGTTTTAGTAGGGGTGATGGGGACAAACCCAGATGCCTTCTTCCTCCTGATTGGTAAACTAATATTTTTAGATGTGGGTATGAGGTAAGCATTGGGCGTTGATGTGATGCCCATGACAGTCAAATAGTCTGCTGATGCTTATTGGCTAGACTTAAGATATCAAGGATTGCCGCTCATAGCGCCATCTGAAACATTACCCAACATGGGTGGAAGAATCTGGGGTGAAGGGAGAATAAGTTTCATTTTTCATTCCAAGTACGCAACCAGGCATCTGAAATAAAAACTGAAAATGCTAGGAATTACTCAGTCTATACAGAAGCGTCCGTGGACACAGAGAAATAGTGTTAATGTTTCAGCTCAACAACTTTCCTCAGAAAAGTGTAACTGGACTGCAGCAGTTGAGAAGGCACCACCTTAGCACCATCTTTACAAAGGTAACTAGAGATGAATAATAAACAGGTCCAGCCAGTGAAACATATCCTGTGAGTAAGTAATAGAACAAAAGTATCTGGTTCTGTGGAGTTTAGCACTGCCAAAAATGGGAAAAGCACTGAATGATTGACTGATCCATCTTGCCAGTATTTAGTAGGCAGGCTCCCTGCCTAAGGACATTAACCTGTGACCATGTCTTCTCTGTCAGACACCAATATTTCATTGAATTACATTGGATATACCAGACGATTCAGCCCATGCCATTGTCTCCTTCCGTCTTTTCCTCTTCTAAATCTATCATTATAACCGTTTATTTCCTTCTCCCTTAAGTGTTTGTCTAGCATCCCCTTAAATGCATCTCTATTATTCAGCCATGGAGGTCAGTTAGTTCAGTTGGCTGGATAGCTAGTTTGTGATGCAGAGTGATGCCAACAGTGTGGGTTTAATTCTCACATCAGCTGAGGATACCATGAAAGACTCCTTTGCTTGAGACATGGTGACCCTCAGGTTACTTGCCTCTCTATCTCTAATAAGAAAGAAACCCTATGGTTTAGTAGGGTTTAGCAACTATGGTTTAGAAACTTTACCTTTTCATTTGACCACTGATGCAATAGCAAATTCCACTTTGTCACAATTCTTGGGTAAAGAAGTGAAACATAGGAGTTCACCTCTGTGTCCTAGTCAATAACTACCCTTCAACTAGCATCACTTTTTTTTTAAAAAATCTGGTTGTTTTCACATTGCTATTTGTGGAAGCTTACTGTGTGCAAATTGCCCACTGTATTTCTTACATATCAACAATTGCTACACTTAAAATGTACTTCATTGGCTGGAAAGCACTTTAGCACATCTTTGAGTTGTGAAAAGACTTTATAAATTTATTTTTGTGTGTATAATCAAATGAATGTAAACACAGATTAAAAACAATACAGAAACAAACCCTCAAACAAAAACTCAAGTCTCAGAAAGAAGTGTCAGAGAGAAGAAGTAACAAAGAGGATTGATGAAGGCAAAGTGGTGGATGTGATCTATATGGACTTCAGTAAGGTGTTCGACAAGGTTCCTCGTGGTAGCCTAGTTAGCAAGGTTAGATGACTCGGAATACAGGGAGAACCAGCTATTTGGATACAGAACTGGCTCAAAGGTAGAAGACAGAGGGTGGTGGAGGAGGGTTGCTTTTCAGACTGGAGACTGTGACCAGCGGTGTTCCACAAGGATTGGGGTCCACTACTTTTTGTTATTTATATAAATGAATTGAATGTGAACATGTATGGTTAGTAAGTTTGCAGATGACACTAAAATTGGAGGTGTAGTGGATAGCAAAGAAGGTTACCTCAGAGTACAATGGGATCTTGGTCAGGTGGGCCAATATGCTGAGGGGTGGCAGATGGAGTTTAATTTAGATAACTATGATGTGCTGCATTTTGGACAGGCAAATCAGGGGCAGGACTTATGAACTTAATGGTAAGGTCCGGGGCATGTTGCTGAGCCAAGAAACCTTGGAGTGCAGGTTTATAGTTCCTTGAAATTGGAGTCACAGGTAGATAGGATAGTGAAGAAGGCATTTGGTATACTTGCCTTTATTGGTCAGTGCATTGAGTATAGGAGTTAGGAGGTCATGTTGCAGCTGTACAAGACATTGGTTCAGCCACTTTTGGAGTATTGCATGTAATTCTGGCTTCCCTGCTATTGGAAGGATGTTGTGAAACTTGAAAGGGTTCAGAAAAGATTTACAAGGATGTTGTCAGGGTTGGAGGGATTGAACTAAAGAGGGCGGCTGAATAAGCTGGGGCTATTTTCCATGGAGTGTCAGAGGCTGAGTGTGACCTTATAGGAGTTTATAAAATCACGAGGGGTATGGATAAAGTGAATAGCCAACATCTTTTTCATAGGGTGTGGGAGTCCAAAAATAGAGGGCACAGGTTTAAGGTGAGAGGGGAAAGATTTAAAACAGACCTAAGGGGCAACTTTTTGATGCAGAGGGCAGTGTGTGTATGGAATGAGTTACCAGAGGAAGTGGTGGAGGCTGGTACGATTACAACATTTAAAAATCATCTGGTTGGGTATATGAATAGGAAAGGTTAAATAGATATGGGCCAAATGCTGGTAAATGGGACTAGGTTCATTTAGGATGTCTGGTCAGCATGGACAAGTTGGACCGAAGGATCTGTTTCCGTGCTATACATCTCTATGCCTCTATGACTATTCCAACACTTTGGATGTAAAGTAATGAGTAAAAAATTTTGGGAAATTTCAAGAAATGTGCAAAATAAATAGTAGGGATGCAACTGCATGCAAATAGTTAAGTATTTTGCTTTTCCTGGCTGGAATTAGCCAGGTTGGAGAATTTCTGTTTTCCCTCCACCCATAGAACTGGTTTGACACCATTGTGTGTCACAGGAAATGGCAACAGTGTGAGTACGTCTGGCTCTGCTGTCTTTAGTGGGACAGGCATCTTGCCAAAACACACAATGCACAATGTTCTATTTAATATTCTTATGGGAGAAATTAACAAACACCGCTACTTCCCTCCCCTTCACTTCCCACCAAGTGTTGGGGTACAGTTTCCAGGGGCACCAGTTGTCCTTGAACAGCTCACCAGTTAACCACATTCCTTGTGCAAGCCCATCGTATTGATACGCTCTTTAATTTATTGTAGCAGAACAGCAATCAAGCCTGACGATGTCCTCATCCAACAACTGGAAAACTATCAGCAGCTGAAATCCTGTCTGGACTTTTCTCTCATCCCCTTACCTGTGGACTCAAGAGGCAATGCCTCCATTGATTGGGGTAAATTAGCAGGTTGACAGAATCAAACATTGCACCACTGACAGACTGAAAAGCTAGGTACCATAGCAAACAAATGCATTCACCCACTGAACTATTCAGAATCCCCCAAGTACACTTCTGTTCAGGGAAAAACATCTTCCACTTAACGAAATCTAATCTAATTAAGTTCAGTATATATTTACAAAATAATACTCCTGGGTTAGCCTCCTGTATTGTAACCTTTAGAAACTTGAGGCCATCCAAACTCTTCTGTCTGCTACTTTGCCTCAAGTTCTGTTCACCCATCATCCCAACATCCCTCCCGATTAAGCAATACCTCAATTTTAAAATTCTCGTTCCTGTTTCCAAAGTGCTTCAGAGTCTCGTCCTTATCTCCTACAGCCCTCTGGGGGTGGGGGTAGCACGCGGGGGTCTGCTCTCTCCCAAAACTGGCCTCTTGACCATTTCTGATTTTAATTGTTACACCATTGGTTACTATTACCTGCAGCTACTTTGGTCTGAAACTGATTGTCCTCCGCCTCTTGCCTCACTACACTTTCTTTTAAGTTACTCCTTAAAACCTACCTCTCTGACCAAGCTTTTGATCACCTTCCTGAATATTTCCTTATGTGATTCAGTTTTAAATTCTGTTGGTAATGTTACTGTGAAGCACTTTGTAATGTTCTACTATGTTAAAGGTGCTTTAAAAGTACAAGTTCTTCTGTGGGATTTAATTGACAGCTTATTTCAGAACATGTAAATTTTGACCTAGGCCCTGATTTTTTATTCTGGGATCAGGTGCACAGAGGCAGAAGAAATCCTTACTCCACAAAGCTTTAAAAATGGCAGCTCCCAAATCTTGTTATGGACTGGATCGTGAGTCAGGAAAGGTGATGCAGGAAGAGCAGAGGAGGCTTCAGATTCCCAGGAGCCAGACAGAAAGCCTGAATGGGTACTCCCACATTGTGTTCAGGTTCAATAATACAGATTAAAGCATAAAACATCCTATCTGCCCTCATCCCCTCACTTTTTGTATACCATCCGTGCTACCTAATTCCCTGTTCAACCCCTATAGTTCCCACACCCTTCATGCCAAACTATGATCCTGTACGCACTCATGGCCTGTCATATCCCTGATATCTTATTCCCCTGTGCTCATTCCATATAGTCCTTCATACCCCATGCCCCACCCTGTGCCTATCTATTGATCTGCCGTAGCTGTTCATAAACTCTAATCCCTGAGACATCCTCAAGGTTTCTTATAGTCCTTATGCCAACTCATCGGCCCCACCCACCACTCTTTGTTCTTCTCCATGCCAACTCACCTATTATCCACACGGACATAAATCAGGAGGTATGGCGACAGAAAATAATCTGTCTATTGACGTGGGGAGAAGATCTAGGCTATTCATATTATCTGTGACACTCATAACTTTATGAACCTCTATCATGGAAAGGTCTGTTTCCATGCTGTATGACTCTTGATGACACAATTTTAAACAAAAACTCTCTGATAGAAAAACATTCAACATATCAATTCCCTAATGAAGCAAGCTTTCGCTTAAGTGCTTAATCTTTTATATCAATGAACATTTCACTCTAATTGGAACTGTCCATTAAAATGCTCACTTGAAAGGCACCCCACTGTGAAAATGATAGTTTGGGAAATCAATCATGCAGGATAAACCCGCCAATGGCTTAGTCAACAGAAAAAATTAAAACTTAGCATTTCTTCAAAAACTCCACATTGTTTGGACACACTGTCATGATAGAAATCTGTCCTTAATCTCTGCCCCGGGGCAGGCCTAATTATAAATCCTTGTCGCCATACCTCAGGTAGTAATCTTTTAATTGTATAAACTCATTAACGATGGACTTTCACAAACTAAGTATTAAAGAACACAACAAAATATCTCTCCCATCTCTTCATCCCTTGATAATGCTGAATCTTGCTTCATTGTGGAAAAAAAAATCATAAACTGTCTTACAGAAAAATAAAGTTTTTAAATCCATTTACAGGAAGTGGGATTACTTGTGAGGCCAACATTTGGCAAGCAAGCAACTTTCCCAAACCGCTGCAGTGTGTGTGGTGAGGGCACTATTTCAGAGGGCAGATAAAGGTCAATATCTTTGTTGAAGGCCTGGAGTTCCACATGGCCAGACCAGGTCAGGGTAGTAAATTACTTCCTTCAAAGGGCATAAATAAACTGATGAGTGAAAATTATAATCTGGCCGTGTTGTGGTCACCAGATTTAATTCATTAATGAGTTTAAAATTCCCACACTGATGTGGTGGGATTAGAATCTGTTTCTCCAGATCACAAATCCAGGCCTTGACATAACCACTATACCATATCCACTTGGCATCAACACTATGGAGAATTTACAGGAGGTAAATGAAGAGGGAACAGTTCTGTGCAGTTTTTTTTAATCTGTTTCTCCACGTTATTCCAATGCAATCTGTTTCATTGTCATTATTCATTATGACAGTAAGGAGTGGTACCTTCATGAAGAGGAGGAGAATTGGAAATGCAAATAAAGGTGGTATTTAAGATTGCTGTTAGTCCTTGTGCGTTGCTAAGATACTGATAGTCCTTGTGGGTTGCTAAGCTACATGGCACCATGTTCCAAATCATTATGATTAGACTTTTCTTAAAGACAGCCTCTTTGTGTTTTTCTGACATGTTTCTTTCTGTGTTTTTGCTTCATATTCACATCTAGCAGAAGTAATTATACAATTAAACTACTCAAAACCAACACATGCACCTCACCAATGCTTCGTGTATGAGAAAAGAAGGCTGAAGTTGCACCTTTGTGGAAATGTAAAGCAGAGTGGTAACCAATCAGTTCATTATAATTACCCCCCCCACCCCCAAACAGCCCTGGTCCCTGCACCCTCCAAACACAACTCCTGATGTTCCACTTTACGTCTGAAAAGGTTGGGAAATTGGCTGAGAGTGCAGTTGGTGACTTGTCAAGTTTTGACTGTCAATAAATGATATTCCTTCATGGGTTGTGGACACTACTGGCGGGGCCAATGCATTTATTGCACATCCCCAATTACCCTTGAACTGAGCGACTTGCTAAGCCATGTCAGGGAGCTGCTAAGAGGCCATTGCTATGGGTCTGGAGTCATGTGTAGGCCAAACTGGGTAAGGATGGCTGATTTCCTTCCCTGAGGGACATTAGTGAACCAAGTAGGTTTTTACGAGAATCATCATTGTTTTATGGGACTATTCTTAAGATTATCTTGATATTCCAGACTTATTAATTGAATTTATATTCTATCAGTGGGATAAGTTCCCAGAATATGAATCTGGGCCTCTGGATAACTTATCCAGTGACATTTTCACAATGTCACTGCTTCCCCTAAACTTTAGAAAAGCCACTATAGAAAAATAAGAGATAAGGAATTTGACTGCATGTAATAGAGGAAGAAATTAGATTGTGGTGGATGATGTGGTTTTCATCTCCAGCCGGGTATTTTACATGTTGCAGCAATATTTATGTTATTCCTCATAACTAAAGAAACTGAGCATGGATAACATGATATTGAAGAATCCAATATTTATTATAGATTGCTATTATATATAAACATCATATTTAAAGGCACTTAAGTGTACCTGTATTAGATTGTTATATTACAACAGAGCAGCATGCTTTCATTAGCATGTCAGGCTTCAAATGATCCTGGGGTAAGATGGAGTCTATTCTTTATACATCAGTTCACAGTGATAACATCATGAACCTGTCTCTTAAAGATATGCTGACATATCCTGTCTCTTAATGGTATAAGGACATACCATGAGACATAACACAATAGACAGGATTGTGTTCAAGGGCTGCATTGAAAAATAAATTTTGTAAATGTGAAGAAAAATAGAGAAACAGTGCTGTGGGTGCTTGGTGTAGGGTAGGAGTAGGGTAAAAGCATGTTTCCAGGGGTGGGGGAGGGTCTGGTCCACAGATGTTAGGATTCTTTCTCCCTCAGGTGAAAAGGCAGGGCGGCCTCAAAAGGCCAGAATCAAAAAGGCTAAAAGGGGTGTAAACGATTCAAAGCTGATGGAAATTGCGAGAGATGCGGTGAGAGGAGATTGCTGAGGCATTGGAGAATGAGAAATTTAAATGGCACACATTGAGAAACAGGAGAAAATGTAGGTCATTCCTTTGGTGCCCGACCGCTTTTTGATCATTTTCTTCTTGACTTGCCTTTCTTGTGACATTGATATTTTTCTGCAATGTAAAGTAACAGCCTTCAACTACTTTACAGAGGGTCTGGTGAACATGTGGAATATTCAACTCAGGAAGCACACCACCTTCCAAAGGGAAGGAGCTTTGTTAGGGGGAGGGGTATAGAAAGAGTTACCAATCAGTTGTCTTCACTTTTACACCTTCTTCCACCACCAGTGTTAAAAGTTATTTTGAAAGCAAATTTAAGAGAGAATAAGACAAATATTTGGCAAGCAGAAGAGTTGAGGATATAGTACAGTGTCTGAATTTTAAGTGTCCAATTTTTCTTGTGTAGGTCTTGTGTTTGTGATCCTAGAACCAACTAAATCAGATTCTGTCCTCACTTGGTCCATACATCATAGG